GGTGCATAAAATAATGAATTAATAAAGTAATTCTAACTAAAACTCCCATTTAACCTCAATGCACATTATAAACTGTGAAGCCTGGATAAAGAATACAGTAGCCCTTTAATACATTTTGTGTAAAATTTGCATTTAGTTACAGGTGTTTTTCTTACTGCATTCATGATGATTTTTATTAATTATGTTAGTGTTTTCATAGGTTTATGTCTTTGTGATGGAGAAATTGTTATAGCAAGGACATTATACGGCTTGAATTCCTTTTTTGACCAGTGTATCTTCCAATAGGGCACAGAATGGTGAAGGGATGTCTGAGGGTGTCAAGCCACAGAGCGCAGTGGTTGGGAGTATGGGATTCCATGTACCGTGTGGTCTTGGGGTGTGTTCTGAGAAGGACCATCAGTGTTGTGGGCCCCCTGTCACTCCTACACCAACACCAACTGCAGGTTGAGCAGGTGAGAAATGTGTTTTAAGGGTGTGGTGGTTCAAGTGAGAGAGAGTACTATTATTATTCTACCACTGACAAGTTCAAGTCAAACAGATTTCTCAAGTCATTTTTTTCCCCTGGCAAACTCAATTTAAAGTGTCAGAGTTTAAGATCAACCTTGATATAAACTATAATGGAAATTCTCATATTTTTATAGCTAACATGAAACGGTATAATTCCATACATTTCATTCTTTGTTCCAATCTGACCCATTTTTTTTCCCACTGACAAACCTTCTAGTTTGTCATATAGCTTTAAGACAGTAGTGCAAGGTGTGCGTTTCTGCATTAGTATCTACATCTAAACAAGGCTCAGAATTAACTGTAGTGTGTGTATAGCAGTTTCACCTACTGTATGACAATGAAACACTTTGACTTTGATGAACATTAGTGCTTTAGTGAGTGCAACTGTGGTTCAGTGGATAGAGTGGTTGTCTTCCCACCGGAGGGTTGGAGGTTCGAATCACGGTGCCTTCTGTTCTGGAAGCAAATTCCTTGTGTGTAAACCTGTATTGCTGTGGTTCAGTGGATAGAGTGGTTGTCTTCCCACCGGAGGGTTGGAGGTTCGAATCACGGTGCCTTCTGTTCTGGAAGCAAATTCCTTGTGTGTAAACCTGTATTTAGATAGATAGATAGATAGATAGATAGATATAGATAGAAAAAAAAATTCCAAGGTTGTATCTGTAATGTTTATGGCTAACTTCTTCATAACTCCATAATGACTGACCTCCATTGTGCTCAAATGAAAGTGAAAACGTTAGTAATTTGATAGTATAGCTGACAAGTAGATTTCATGGATAAACCTGTTAGGTAAACGCTGCTGTGTATGTCTCACTAATATTTACTGTAATGTGTCTGGTCCAATTGACAGGTTTTCTAGAAAGGTTTGTGGATCCCAGAATTGATTTACAGTCATCTAAATGTCTTAAGAGAAACAGTAAAGTAAGATATAGAAGTTCATTTGTGTTACTATGAGTAGCCTATTGAATTGCCTATAAATTTGTCGCAGATCCTGATCCTCCAAATGGCCAATAAGATAAGGCATCCACAGCTCTGGAGTTCTTCCTTGAAACTGCAAAGAAACAACTTTCCATACAGGCTTGTATTGACTTAAATAATGGAATAAGTAAAATGTTTAATTTGATTAAGCAACTTAAGACTACACCAGTGTTGTTGACATCTCCTATTTTGTAGCCAATAGGTTATATATATATAGTTCTCTAAAATATCTAATTAGGCTTCATAGTAGTAGTTGTACCTGCATTTCAGACTGCCTGTGGGTTTCCACTAATTTTAAGGGCATTTTCAAAACCAACTTAACTTTACTAGTCAACTAAAGAACTTGCAAGATTATAATACTGAAACTGCCCATCTCAATATATTATTGTATTTTAATGCACATTAAAGAGTGAGGGGGGCCAAGGAGTGAATGTGTACATATGAAGCTGTGGTAGGGAACTCTCATCTCAGGGAGAAATGACCTCTACTTTTACTCCCTTTACTTAGTGGTAAAGTGCAAAATAGTGTGGTATGGACCAAATGTTTACAGAACTAAGTAACTGTCTATTTTGTCTTTGTTTTCAGGATTGAAAGCCTGTGGTTTGATGTTTGGAAGGTGTCAAATGTGGATCATCATCTACAGCCTTGAGGAGGACAGACTACTAGATCAAACAAACTGCCCCACATCCAAGCTGTTATAGACGTGTTCCTTGAAGGATGGAACAATGCTATGCCCCGAATCAGCTGTGGGAAATTGGGAAGACTCCAGGTCCTGTCAACCCTCCTAAGAACATTGAGGTAAGAAAGCCATGCTGCTGTGGAATTTCACCATTGTTATAAAACACATCCTTGTACTTTGTGGCTTGATCACAGTTTTCAGTCATTCACAAAATGTATGTCAAAGTGCTCTCTACACATATTTATGAATGTTTAATTTCAGCGGGGCCGGTTCCCAGATCTGGACATTTTGCACATTGATCACGTGACAGTAGATTCTTCAACTGGTATTTCCCCTGGACAGTGAAGAACTGGAGGCCCTGATCTAATCCCTTGTCTTAATGTTCAAAAGTTGCAAAGGAGACAGTTTAACTTAATAAAACTAAATTGAATTAAAATTTACATATCAAGTTGGACTGGACAAGGTACATGTCGGGTGTGCTCAGCAAAAATCCAAACAAAGAGCCTTCACACACTGAGTTTATTCTCAACTTAAAAAAAAAAAACAAAAAAAAAAACAAGCATGCAACAGGCTCTGTAGTCTGGTAAATATTACCATTTAGAAAATCCTCTCCTCACTCCCTATGCATTTGTTTGCCACCATTGTCTCCCCTCTCCCCCCTTGTACCTTTTCTGCAGGTGTCACTGACCACATTAACCTGCCCTTTGTCTGTTTGTTTTGTCTTGATGCTTTGTCCCACTCTCCTCCCACAAGACCCTGGTTCTGGTGGTGGGGGGAAGGGGGGGTCTGTATGGAGTCTCTGTAAAGCCTCATTTGATTTCTCTAATAAACAACCATAAACAGAAATTTGCCTGTGTCAGTGCACATCCTCAAGAATCCTGTTGTACAATTCTGGATCACTGTGTAGGGATGATTGTCATTGTTGCCTAAAGGGGAAAAGGCAAAAGCTTGAATGTAAAGACAGGTATGCTTTATAATTCAATGCTACACACTTGTGTCTGCACACATGCATATTACTGAGTGGACACTGCAAAGTTCCAAGTCAACATTTCCTACTAAGACAAAATAGGGGGAAAAGGAAAATTGCAACTATTAAGATGTCATCTCACTGCACGTTGAAGTAATAGCCATTTCCAATTTACTAGCGGCAACTTAAAAGAAAACGTTAAGCTTCACGTTTAGAAAAACTATCCACAACAGTAAGAACTTGTTTAAAGAGTAAACCCCAGGTCTGGGTTTTCTCTCTGGAGAAAATAGAGAGCAACACCATCGCAGGGCACATAGGGACTCTTGAGGTGGACTTTACCCTTCCAGTTTCACAATTCTAGATTTGCCCTTTCCCCCCCAAAAATAACCATGGTTTATAGATATTAAATGTGCAATGGTATTACAGTGGAACCTCGGTTTTTGTATGCCCTACTTTTCGTACGATTTGGTTGACGACTTTTTTCATCGAAATTTTGTCCCAGTTTTCGTACATCTGCTCTGTTTTCGTACAGTTGATTGGTCGGTTCAGCGTCAGTCAGTGCCAAACTCGTCTGCCTGCCCTCGTGACTCGGCCACTCATTTCTTCCGGGAAATGAGTGAAGGGAAGTAACCCCAGATAGGGTCTTGATACATGAAGTCCTCATGGAGGGGGATTCCCCTTCCAAACAATAACCTCTCCCCTCCTCGCCGCCTTCCATACGCCAATAAGAGTCTTCAATAAAGGTAAAAGTGATGTTAAATGTTCATTTCATTTATTTCTCTTGTTTTCTGTGTGTAAAAATAGTTATTCTCTATAAAATGTATTTTTTGTTAATTTTGGGTGTCAGGAATGGATTAATTGAATTTACATTATTTCTTATGGGAAATATTGCTTCGGTTTTCATCAGACTTTTTGGAACAGATTAATCACGAAAACCGAGGTTCCACTGTAGACTGATATTCTAACTAAATGACTCGCATAAACTGCAACAGCTCTGAATAGGGGTGTAGCCTGTTACCCACTTCTGAATTATTGCAGTATCCATCACTTTACCAACCTATTAATTGACCTCACAGAAAAGCTAGATAACATTAAGCAGGGAGCAATGGGTGCACAAATGAATTCAGACTGCAGTAAGGAGGGACAGGTAGCTCAACTTTAGCAACGCACACTTTCTGTATAACGCTAATCTATGCTAACAATCTTAAATATGCTATCACTATACTCAACACACACAATTCCAGCTCCTAACTCCCCACAGTCTTATCAGTGGGAGACAATTTCTTTAGGGGGCTGGGCTGGTTGGTGACAAAAGCTGGCACAGTCCATGTCACCTCCCACCAGATCAGCCAATAGCAAAATGCTATGGCAACAGCCAGGTTTCAACCAGTAGAGGGCACTCCCTTGCAGAATTTTATTTTGCACTAAAATGTCGAGATTTGGACCTGGATCAATCAAGAACACCAGTAAATGTACCAGTATACACTGGTTTTCAGCTCAAAAATAGATTTTGGGCTATAGTTCCTCTTTTTTTTTACCAAATATTTAACAAAGTTCTGAATAGGTTTTTATTACTCACCATCTGAATTGTTGTCCAGATGTCAAGCTACATCATCGATCTGTAGTGTGAACCCATGAAGTTCAGGTTACCTTCTTCACTGAGTTGTGTGGCTTTGAGTTCTGGACTTGGTGACATACTCAGCAGGTCTTCAAGTGCACTGTATTCAACAATACATTGAGAAATGTATATACACTGTATGAACTGTGTTGCATGCATTGTTTTTCAATTTTACAGTGAAATGAACTTGCCTTTCACCACATATACTAACATAACATAAAACAACATCTCATGAATAGAGTGTCATAAGGAAGACTGGCAATATTTTGTAGACCGGTCAAGAACTTAGCATCACCCTGGATGCTTTGACACAAAGCCAATGGGATTTTAATACAGGCTTTTGGACTGTTAAAGATAATAATACACAACTAAATGTGCCAAAGAAACAGAGCACAAGTTCAATGATGTCCGACCATCATTTGGCCCCAAACGGGGGTGTCAGGCCATGCCATCATAAATCTTCATAGACCCACAATAAGTAACACCATTTTCCAATCCTACCCTACCCTGTGCTTCATACAAAATATCCCTGAACCCTATCCTTACCCAAGCAAAGAGCAGACATGTGGCCAGACACGCAGTATGTGCATTGTATTTGCTCAGGTTAAAAAGTTGCTGGCCCAACCAGGTTGGCAGGCAATTAATCTGAGAGCCACACCTGATCAGTTGTCCACCCACAGACCATGTTCTACTAAGACTGTCAATCATAAGAAAAATATAGACCTAACAATCCCATACAAGTCAATAACCACATCAACACCAAAGCCAATAAAAATTCTGTGTGGGTACAAGAGTGAAGGCAAGTCTACAGGGTCATCAGATGGGCACCCTCTCTGGTGTTGCATTGATTTGGGCATGACATCTAGAAGGCTCAGTAGTGTTCCCATGTCCCAGAATCTTATTTTGGTAATTTGAAGTCAAAGAAAGATGGTTCAAGTGCCCGTGCAAGTAGCAAAAGGGCTGTACTTGATCTCATTAAAACTGGTGTGTTTTGGGCATAACATACAATTAAGTGTGTAACCTCACATCCCTTCAAGAGGTGTTTGAGTTGGAATGTTTGGCAGATTGCAAGCATACTGGCACACATCAATATTTTCCACTGAGGAAATGGATCTGCTTGTGCGTGAGGTGAAGGCACACGATCACTAATCAAAATGGCCATTCATTATAAATACTGTACATATACATTGATGTGCACAGCACCAAATGAATACAATGTAATCTATTTTTTTAAGTTTTGCATGTCCTGTGCAGCACGTCAGCAGGGTATAACAAGCACAGTGCATGAACAGTGTCCATTCACCTAGACAGGTGCGCATCACAAGACGGTCAAAGCGCCCATTAACTAGCAATGATGATTTGAGTGTTGACCACAGACCTGGGTCTTGCTGGTCAGTGGCACAGTCACTTTGTGAGTCCTCACATTACCAATGTGTCCAAAATTTACCTGGACACACCCCATTTTCTTCCAGACACACCTGCCAGTGCGAAGTCAACAGACTGCTGGTTGGTAAAAAAAGGCAAAGTGATACGCATATCGTGAAAATGGTAATTGTGCAGGTAGGAAACACAGACATGCCATGCATTTGTTGCAAGATAGGGCCCCAAGTCTCTTAATAAATCAGGCTGTTACCAAAAAATAAAGCCATAGTGAGCAACAACACTGCAGACATTTCAAATACCATCATAGCCACCAAACATTTCAAGTAACCCACGACACATTTCAGTTAACTCACCAAATGTTTCAAGCAGCCCAGCCAATTGTACTGCCATCAAGCTCCACTGTGTTGCTAATCACTCCAGCAAACCAGGAATAGGCCTCAAGCCTGCCACGTCAGCCAAGTTCTTGATTCTGTTAGGCTCCGTCCATTTATACCCAAATCACCAAACAGACAGCTGACTTAGCTACAAAGTCCCTACAACCAACCTCCATCAGGCAGACTAACTTTCCAAGGCTCCTCTGACACCATGACCAGTTCTGTATAGTTCAGTTTTTTCCACTTGTAAGCCATTTCAAGACTAGAAGAACAAAGACTTACTTCATTCTAAAAACAATACAATAGAACACCACCACACACTGTATTCTAAAAAACAAACACCCACACAGAGGAAGATGGAGAATATTTTAACTTTTACAAAATCTATATATGAAACTGTACCATGGTTTCTATTGTTCTGGTGTGAACTTACCTGTCCACAACTTAATGGAGGAGGAGTGTATTATCAATTTGTTCTTGAAGAGGGACAATATAAAGCATTGTTTCTCCCATTGCTGGTGATCATCTTCAGCACCTTGGCTGTGTTCACTGTGCCAGCAGAGACAGGTTCCTCTGACCACTGCCGCCTTGAATGTAGAACGGGAGATATCACAGAAGTAGAAGATATTACTGTAGCTAAGAATTCTTTAACATTGTTACTTTTCTGACATCATTAACTCTTGGCATTGCTTGCACTATGAAGACCATCTGCTGCTATTTTGAGACTGACTGGAATGTGAACAAAACAGGTTTTTCACCAAGTTAATTGATGATGACTGGCAGCTGATGGTTTGTCTGGACTTCAGTCTAAATGGAGGCTCTATCTTACAGAGAGGTGGAAAAGAACTCAACACAACATACTCAAGATATTCAACATACTTGAACGTCACAGAACTGGGGCGCCACTAGCACAACCGGTTATTTAAAAAGATGGTTTGATCTCAAATCTGAGGCAACAAAACAAATACAGAACAGAGATGCTGACCAGTGGAGGAGGACAGGCTGGCCCAGTTATCCGAGCCGGACCAGCTGTGCACCTAGGTCCCTTCAACTGCCCTGAGTCTGATCTCGGATGTGGTGCTGGACAACCAAACGCTTCCAGACAGCCTGAATGCTGGCCAAAATATCTGAAAGACACTTAAAAAAATTTATATTAATTAGAAATAGATATGCACTTAAAAATGAAAATAACACATTTCCTAATTCTAAGATACAAATATTCACACAAGAAAAGTTATATTAATTTTTAAAACTGATTTATAAGCAAGCATTTTAAAAGCCCATAATACTTTGCAAAATGGGATAAAATATTAAAGGATTACTAATAGTGACAAAACTGTTATTGTAATTTAGATCTTATAACTTTAAATGAAGAAAACTAAATAATTTGTTTCACACCAATGACAGCACCCAAAAGTGTCGTAACTGTCCCCAAATGCCTCCGGAGTGTGCGCAGATGTTGTTCTTACCTAAGAACAAATCCCAGATTTAAAAAAAGGCGAATGCCATGATCTTTATGTAAACTTCACTCGTAGGTTTTACTAACAAATTTGTTCTTAAGAATGGTTGGTGAATGCGGCCCAATGCCTGCTGCACTTGATGGTGCGAAAGCAAGAAGGGGCGAATCAGGTCCAGATACGGCTAACATTACAAAAGCGAATACGTTACTTGCTAAGCCATAGCACATTTGCCTGAAAACAGATTCTAACGATCAGTCTCACTGTTGAAGTTAACATAATCAAGCAAAGCAAACGCGCACCAGACCACATGGAACCAATTAGCAGACACACGTCTGACCTACCTTCAGCTTGCAAAGCTCCTTGCTAGCACAGTTTTGCTAATGTTCTGCGTTAATACACAATCTGGCTAAGACCATATAACGTAGACCATCCGGGGGGGGGGGGGGGATACGGCCACATTTATTCAACTGCTTTACCTCATAATAACAGCTAAGAACCTGCGCACTGCTTGCCAAAGAACTGCACATTCTTTTTAATTGTTGTTACCAATCATCTTCGTCTTCCGCTGGTTCTTCTTCTCCTTTTTTGTTTGGGGGGGGTTGGCCTCTGTGGGTAGGCATAGTAACTCCAGCACCAGAAGTACCTGTTTGTCCTTCACATTGACAGTCTATCTGAAACTGTACTTTTAACTAGTTAAAACTTCAGTGTGGATATCTAAAAATCTGAGTTTTTAATTGCTTTCATGATATCTACAAAGACAATCTGGATATCATGTAAAGGTATTTATGGATGCTGTTTTAACATAAAAAGGTATTGTGACTACCCATAATTGCAGTTTGGGCATCTACAGTTGCATTCTGACAAGTCAGATTTATAATGCATCTGGTCAAAATTATAATTTTAGACATCTACAATTATATTTTGACTAGTAAAAATTTCATTTTGGATATCCAAAATGACATCAAACAACATACAGTGCCCCTTCCTCCTCATCCACACTTCTGGTGGTCAGCACAAATCATGGAGTTCACAAAGTTTAGAGCAGCTTCATTAGATATGAATGGATGATGTTAAACAGATTATGATTTCACTGGCATGTAGGTCCAAACTTGACAGATTGTACTTTTTTTTTTTTATATTATCTCTTTGTTTCTGAAGGTAGCTAAGGTACAATTTTCCTAACTTTCTAATTTATACTAATGTTAACTGGCTTTGCTGTATGGTGATACACTATGTGGCAAAGATGATAGTGGTTTTTTATGTTGATATATTGTAACGTCGGTAAAATGCTTAAATGGCACAGTGACGTCATTTTGGATATCCAAAAAGGAATTGTGACTAGTCAAAACGTAATGGTTGATAAATGAAATTGTCATTCTCACTGGTAAAGATACAGTTGTAGATATGTTGGATTGTCTTTTTGACTAGTCACATTGTATTTCTAGTCAAAATGCCATTTTAGATTTCTAAAATGCAATTAAGGATATTCAATTTAAACCTTTTAAATGTTAAAAAAGCCTGCCATGACCATCTGTCCTAGACACAAGCCACTCAAAACCTGGGTGGGAACAGAATGGAGGAGAGAGGGGACAGAGAGAATTCACGGTCTAGGCAGGGGCTATTATTTCAGTGGTCATGGGTTCTTGCACATATTTCATGGTTGCTCCCAGGGTGTCATCTCACAGCCATTAGCAAACTGCATTCATTTAAAGCACTTGTCGATCACTTGTGGCCTGTATAGTACCCTGTCAGTGCTAAAAACAAACAAGATAAATAACAAATGGTGACATCTGAAGGCCATACAAATAACATTCAAGAATTTATTACGGTCATTTTTTTTCTCTTTCTCTGTAAAGGGGTAGCACCAGTTCCTTAGCCACTGACATGCAGACTAGTGTCTTTTCTAAGATTCAGAAAGACATGTCAACAGTCTTCTGTCAGGTAGTGTTAGTCTGACATTGGGTGTCTATGGCTGACACTTTGCTGGTAGTTTTTGCAGTGTGTCCAACACATTTGCAACTAACATCCTCTCAGCTTTTTACGTTTGTTGCTTTCTGACCTTGGCTTATAGCAAATGACTGACTCACGTATTTATTGTGGTTTTATTTGTTGCCTCAAACATTTCTTATTTTAACTTGTAAATGCAAAAGACAATGAACTGCAACACAAAGCAAAGCAAAACGTTACATTTCATGATGATGCAATGTTTTTGCACACATCTTTATAATTTGTATTCCATGCATGACAAGACTGTTAATGATGCTCACTTTGGCATAAACATGGCTGACTAAAATGCTTTCTCTGTCTTTATATGACATTTTGGTCTATAAATTGTACTATTGACAAATGTTTCCTTGGTTTTATCAAAACTGTCTTTGTGGCACTTTCTACTACAACCTTTGATACACAACATGAGATATCAGCTGGCCTTTTTTGTTTAGTTCTTTTAGGCGTGCCAATACCAATTAAAGATACTGATAGCTGAACATAGTGAAAGCCTAATGCTTAAACTAACAGCAAAACAAGAGCTGTCTTACCTTTTCATCTTGTCAAGTCTCCTGAAAGTGGCAACATGATGACTTAGATCCATGGACATGCAAGTACTACAGCACAGGCACAACCCAGATTTCAAAACATGTGCCCAGATCAATAAGTCCTCAAATCTAAATGACCATACAGGTCATTTGTTTTGACCCATAGAGGGGGAACACTATTTGGTTAGGTTCAGGCACAAAAACCTTTTCTTTAGATGTAGGAAAAAATCATGGTTTGGTTTCAAATAAGTACTTCCTCAAAGTATGAGGACTTTGTCATCATGGTTTCAGTAATAATCACACAGCTCAGGTTGTGGAACAGTCATGGACAAATGAAACAACGCTGACTCATTGTTGGAAATGGGAAACAAACAGAAGTCCTCCATGAGAAATTCCTGTGTTTTGTAATCCCGTCCTCCTACTAACCAGTAACACAGCAACTAACTTTCTCCTTTGCTCCCATCATAATTACTAGAACTGCTTAATTATAAGGTTGCTTAATTATGAAATGTGACTGTCGGGTGTAATAAGCAGCTGTCACACACAACCTATTTGGTTTTTTGTTTGTTTGTTTGTTTGTTTGTTTGACAGGAGGAGACTTTTAACCAGATAGTGTACAGTATGTGCAGGTGCCAAAATGCATATGCCTGACTGCATGTTTGCAGACAAGCACATAATCACTCTTGTCTTACAGCATTGGAGGGGCATGATCTGATCATTACACCTTCCGGAACAGACTAAGTTTAGAGTTGAGGACTGCCTAGTGACAGCAGTAGAAAACAGAGTGGAAGTCCTGCAATAAAGCCAATCATGGGAGTCCTCACTGGGCCTTGTAAATACCTCACTTTGTAGGGTTACTGGGAGGTCTGGGAAGTGAAGATTTCCAACTTATTATTCTCAGGAAACCCCAGACAACCTCCCCCGTGAACTCGGGTCAGGCAAGGTTATGACCTTGGGGCATTCATCATTCTTCTTTCTTGGTCAATTGTTATACATCTATATAGGCTATATATAAATCCCCAGCATATGAACTGTAGGGTGATGACTTGGTTTAATGTTGGTGTAAGGTCTATGCAAGCCGTTGTCATGGGTAAGGTCATTGTAGGTCTCTAGGAAATGAATGTAAGGCAATGGAAAGTCCTCACAAAAAAATGAAAGTAAACATATACGTATGTGAACGTGTTATGTTCTGTTGAGCTTTTATTGCAAAGCCCTCAAAAAGCACCAGTGTTCCTGCAGACACCTTTAATGGCATGAGACACATTTCCAGTAGGACAGTGGAAATGTGTCACAGCAGAGAGCAATGCTCCAGTGCCAGCCTTGTGCCATCTGCACAGGGCTAAGCTTTCTGACAGAATACTGACCAGCTTTCAGTCTACTGAGGGCATTCCGGACTGTGAGAGGATCAGCAGGCTTCCAACAAGTGCTCTTCAGGGCAGTATAGGCTTTCATACTGTGTTGGTCTCTGACAACTGAACCATAACAAGTAAGTGACAGGAGTCAAGGGCCAATTACAGACCCTATCGAAGTCCATATCAACCTTGCCATATATACAGCTTTACAAATGTCCCCTGTATTTTATAATATATTAGGAATTTACTGTTAAAGAACAACAAATCTAACACAACACTTTTTTATGGCTGCCAGAGTGTCATTTATGGAGTGGAACCTGGTGTGCAGTAAACATAGAGTAGTGACAAGAAAGCAGGGCATAAACCTTAATTTTGTGAAGGATATACAATCTGTATTCTGATGATTACATATGTTTAGAGAGAGAAACCATCATTCCACTATGTGTTATTATCATTTTAAACAACCTGCCCATTTTCCCAATTTACCATAAAATTTAAAGCAAAAATAGATCAAGCATACCTTTCATCTCTAACACTTAAAAAAGTTTCCCCTAAAATATCAAAATGTCTTTTTATGACTTCTGTTCCACTTCTAGTTTTTATAACAGCCATACAGGCCATGCCAAATGTGCCCAAAAATAAGCCGGGCCTCCCCACTGTCTCTGAGATTGCCCACCCAGGAGTCTGGCACACGCCACAGCGAGCAGGAGGCCCTCTGGATTACAGTAATACACACTATCTCATAATGGAAAGCTGCCGTGCACATTTCCCTCTCTCCGCCCTCATTGTCCACACTACCAACTGCACAATCAGGATATGAGACTGTGATTGCACCCGTTAGCATGTGTGAGTTTGACAGTGTGCTGCTCCCCCCTTTTTTCTGGGTTGGGCACTGCTGGGCTCCTACAAGGTAAAACATAAGTAAAAAAAAAAAAAAAACTAGGCATTTTCATGACATGTACAAAATGTATCTTATCACACCATAAACTAAACTAAAACCAGTTTGTTAGTATGAAAAAGTGGCTTGAATCCATGAATAGCTTGATTAATTTTAGGCAGCAGAGGTCATGGGTCATAAGGAAACAATGGCATGAACATAGTTAACCTGAGATACTAACATGGTTAAATAAACAGTCTGGCTGCCCTGTTTGGACCCGCCACACACTAGGCAAACTCCGCCACTTTTCCTCTCACCCCATAATCACCAGAAGCTGTAATTAATGGGGAGGCTGACCCAAGGTTCAGGGCAGTGGAAAGGACAGCCAGCCAAAGTTGAAAGCCATTAAGAGGAAAGGGAAATTGAGCGAAAGAGAGAACTGTGTTAGCCACCCATTCCTCCCTGGCTGGGTAACAAAGGTGCAGGTGGGCCAAGGGGTGCACTCTGGCCAGAGTTAAGACCACTGGGTTACCACCAGTGTATGTAATTACACCACCGAGGTCATTTAC